ATCTTGCCTCTCTTAAGGTTTCCCACTGTTCTCTCCAAGTTCTGCATTCTGTTCTTTTAGTACCTGCCCTTTCCAATATGATGGAGTCATCCCAGACTGCAAGAGGGCACAGGCCGGGCTGAGGGACCCACCCCCTGCCCCGAGTGCACAAATTTTTGTGCACCGGGCCTCTAGTTAATTATAAAGAAAAGGAAGTAGACATATGGCCTCCACAGTGTTTGAAAAAATATATAGGAAAAGAAAAACTTTAGTGATTTACATATGAAACCAATAGGGTTTACTTTTTTTTAGATTTTATTTAAATCCTCTATTTTTTTTGTTAACAACTTTGAGATATAATTTACATAACACAAAATTCACCCTTTTAAAAAGTGCACGACTCAGTAGTTTTTAGTATAGGCACGGTTTTCTGGCCATGGCCGCCATCTAATTTTAGAACATTTCATCATCACAGATAGAAACCCTGTGCCCATTTAATGTCACTCCCTGCCACCATGCCTCCACTCCACCCCCAACTAGGCAACCACTGATCTATTTTCTGTCTCTAGATTTGTCTATTCTGGACATGCTATATAAATAGAATCATAAATATGTGGTCTTTTGTGACTGGTTTCTTTTACTCAATATGATTTCAAGGTTCATCCATTTAGCATGTATCAGCACTTTATCCCTTCATGGCTAAGTAATATCCCATTGCATTTATTTACCACATTTTGCTTATCCATTCATCAGCTGATGACAGTTGGGTTGCTTTCACTTTTTGACTATTATGAATAATGGTGCTATGAACATCTGTGTATAAGTTTTTGCGTAGACATGTTTTCAGTGCTCTTGGGTATATACCTAGGAGTGGAATTGCTAAGTCATGCAGTAACTCCATGTTTAACTTTTTGAGGAAATAATAAACTGCTTTCCAAAGCAACTGTGAGTTTTCCTATTGCCACTGATGGCTCACGTGCAGAGAGAGGCTTATTCATAAATCACTTTGGCTTTTAAAAATTAATGCTCACTTTCTTAAAATGCATATTTTAAAGCATTTCAAAAATTCTTAAGTTCAATTACCAGTCATATCATTCTAATCACATATCTAATGACTATTAATAACCTCTAAGGGGTCTTTGATTACTAAATGGTCTTCTTTTTAAAATAAAATGGCTTTAGGCAGTTTATATTGCACTTATTTATCCTATATATAAGTAGATTACCATATTTTCTTTTTAAAAAATATTTTTAAATTTATTTTAGAGAGAGAGAGACATCAATGTGAAAGAGAAACACCCACAGCTGCCTCCTACAGGCCTCCTACTGGGGATTGAGCCTGCCAGGTGCCCTGACCAGCGCAACCAACTGAGCCACACTGGCCATATTTTCTTTTTTATAGTAATTGTTGTATAATGATTACATCTCAATAAAGCTGCAAAAAAATTAAGTAAAATGAAAAGAACTCAGTTCTTTTAAAATTTTTTTAAATAAAGCAATTGATTGACAAACTAACCTCCCAAGTACTTTTATTGCATTCTAATAAGTAAACATTTAAATGCAGTGAATTTGAAGATTTTTTTTTGTTTTAATGTTTTTACAATCCCAATAAGAATTTAACTTCGAAGAACAGTCTAAATAAATGATTCCACTGTCTGATTTAAATTAGAATCTCCAGGCTCATCTTTTAAGCACCCCACTATGCCAAATTATTTTAAACATTTCAAGTACTTAAAATACCAAATATGCACAATGCAACACACACAACCCCCCCCACACACACACATTAACACTGTTAGTTTGATTCTCTTAAACAGTTCCACACATAATTCTAAATTTTCCTAAAGTTGATAGATAATTACCCAGTAAAGAGCTATCTGAAGTTTACCTTCCCAAGTGATATGGTGTGGGGGAGGGGATGGGGAGTGAGGAACACACCTCCTTAGCTGACTAAGATTTTATGTCAAGATTTTTCTCTTATGTCAACATACAATATTATATTAGTTTCATGTGTACAACATAGTGATTAGGTATTTTTTTAAAATATATTTTATTGATTTTTTACAGAGAGGAAGGGAGAGAGACAGAGAGTCAGAAACATCGATGAGAGAGAAACATCGATCAGCCGCCTCCCGCACATCCCCCACCGGGGATGCGCCCGCAACCCAGGTACATGCCCTTGACCGGAATCGAACCTGGGACCTTCCAGTCCGCAGGCCGACGCTCCATCCACTGAGCCAAACCGGCTTCGGCGGATTAGGTATTTATATACCTTACAAAGTTATCACCTCAATACATCTGGTACCGATCTGTTACCGTACATAGTAATTACAATATTATGGACTCCATTCCCTATGCTGCACATTGCATCCCCGGGGCTTATTTTATAACTGACAGTTTGTACTTCTTAATACTTTCTTTTACCTTTTCTACCCATCTCCCCACCTCCTCCCAAGGTTTTTCTTCTGTGTGAACCTGTTAGGTTGAGCCCCTTTTTATAGCCACTCACCCAGACCAACACTTACAAGTGGGGATCAGATGGCCCAGAACCTGGGGTTTGAATACATCATAACTCAATTTTCAAGCCTTTGTCTTTAATTACTACCCATGTTATGGCACCATTTGTTTAGATTCAATGAATTTACTTCTTCATTTCTCTGAATTCTGACTCTGGAGCCAGACTGACGTGGGTTGAGTCCTGGCTCTGCCAGTTACTAGCTGTGTGACTGGGAAGACATGTAATCTCTTGGTGCCTCCGTTTCCTCAGCCATCAAATGGAGGGGGGAAGTGCCTGCTCACAAGATTATTCTGCAGCTTGAGATCATGTATGTGAGGCCCTATGGACAGTGCCTGGCCTAGAGTCAGCATGGTTATAAGTTTGCTGCACTGTCACTGTACCACCATCTCTGTTACGTGTTAGGACCACAACCCGCAGAGCTATTCACAGGCCATCGAATTGGGTTCTGAATTGGGTTCTGTGCGTGAGGGCAGTCTGACTCAGGGCCACATCTAAGGCCATGCTAATCATCCATGTCACCATCGGGCCTCTTAAGAATGTCACGTGCTCCCTCTGCTGGACAGTACCTCAGGCTTGTGCTGAGTCCCGGAACCCACGTGCAATTCCAACCAGTTCCGTTCTCAACCTGTGGGTCGCGACCCCTTTGGGGGTCGAACGACCCTTTCACAGGGGGCGCCCAAGACCATCAGAAAACACATATATAATTACATATTGTTTTGTGATTAATCACTATGCTTTAATTATGTTCAATTTGTAACAATGAAAATACATCCTGCATATCAGATATTTACATTAAGGTTCATAACAGTAGCAAAATTACAGTGATGAGGTAGCAACAAAAATAATTTTATGGTTGGGGGTCACCACAGCATGAGGAACTGTATTAAAGGGTCACGGCATTAGGAAGGTTGAGAACCACTGCTCTAAGATCTGGGTGTTTGGTGAAGTGGGAAATGGCCCTTTAAGAGACAGTAGCTAGCTCCTAGTTGCCATGGAGACAGCTGGAAACAGACCGGGTGGCAGGCAGCAGGCAGCAGGCAGCATGTCCTCCAAAGTTCAATCCAAAGGTGGGAAGAGGGCTGCTGGGGCTGGGGAGGGGAGGGCGACCTTCTCCCTCACAACCTGCCCGGAGGTAGCCTCGGAGGAATCTGCTCTTGGGACCATTGCCCACCCCTGTCCTCCTCTCTGGGGTCGGCCATCCCAGCCTCTTTTCCTTCCATAGGCCTCAAGGCCAAGGACCAGCCGGCCCCAGCCCCAGAGAGTCCGCCACCCCCAGAGGCCAATGCTGAAGCCATTCACTTCCTCAACTCCCTCAGTGAGCCTGGGCAGTGTATGTGTGTGTGTGTGTGTGTGTGTGTGTGTGTGTGTGTGTGTGTGTGGCAGGGGGTCGGGGGCACAAGTGTGGAGAGGAGGGGAGAGAGAAGGAAGGCCCAGACCTGGCCTGGTCTCTCTCAGCCTTGATTCTCCTGGGACTCAGAAAGGGTTGATATTTGTTGGTATTTTTCAAGGGAAGACCAGGGACATGGGGGTCGCTGGGAGTGTCTTCACCTGCTGGCTGCTGTAGGGGCTGCCTGGGAGACGGGGATGAGGAGCGAGTGGGTAGGGACTGTGGGATACTAGTGGCCAGGGAATCAGAGAGTTGAGGCTGGGAGCTGGGGCTTTAACTGTCCCCACGGAACCTCCCTCCCCCAGGCCAGGAGGAGCTGCAGATGCTGTTCTTCTCTGAGACTCTGGCCATGGTCTCGAAAACAGGGGAGCCTCAGGGAGAGCTGACCATTGAGGTGCAGAGTGGGAAACACGAAGACAACACGGGCACCATGTTGCCATGCGCCCTTGTGCACGCCTTTAGCCGTGGCTTCGTGGACAAAATGCTCTGCGGAAACTCTCTCCTGGGTAGAGTCCCTGCTGCAGAACACCCTCCCTCCCCCTACCCCAGCACCCCTCTCCTCCCCTTCTCCATCCCCAGGACTTTGCTTAGTACCAACCCTTGGACTTCACCGTGGGACCAGAATGAGGCAGAGTGTGAGGGAGGTGGGGGAGACTCAGGACAAGAGCATCAATTCTGTCTAGTTTTTGCTATGGCCACACTCTACTTGGGCCTTCCAACCTGGGCCATCACCCTCCCCTCCTGCAATCTCCAACACTGTCTCTCTCAATGGCATTGTTCCCCTCCTTCTGCCCCAGGCTATCTCACCTGGAACCTGGAGATCGTGGAACAACATAGTCAGGAGTTCATCAAGGTAACTTCTGGAGCCCCGAACCTTGACCCCAATCCAGGGTGAGAGAATAGAGACCCTGGGAGAAAGAGAAGAGGAAGGAAAGAGGTTCAATAGAATGTCACCCTAACTCTCTCCTCAGTTACCCTGTAATCCCTACAAAAGCCTGGGAAACGATCCATCCAGGGAACAGGAGGCCAGCAGCAGGCTGCTTCTGAGGGCCTTCTAATACACAAACGCTGGGTCCAGCCAGCTGGACCCCTCCAGCCTGAGAGCCGGGCATCTCCTAGGGCCACGCTGGCTGACCTTTCCCAGAACCTGACCTTTCCTAAGGGCCTGTCACCACCTGCCTCCAAATTCTCCTGCTCTGTGCCCCTCACAACCGCCCCAGCCACTTCATTAACTTCTGGAACGTGGCCTGCCTACACTGTGGAAGCCCCTTTTGCCTAAGAACCTTCCCACACAAACCGTTCCCATCTTTGAAGCCTGTATTTGAAGTGTATTTGCTTTTTAACTTTATTCTGCACCATCACATGACTTCTATTCGTGGGCTTTCCTGCACATGGAAGGTTTTCTATCCGAATCTCCCCTTGGTTTTCTCACTTATAAAGGAGAATGGATAAGGTGACCTTTGGTCGGGGAGGGGGGCATTCGTATACAATCCTGGGAGCCCCTGATTCTCCTCTCCATGCTCTGGCCCTCAGTTCCACATCCTCCCCATGGAGCAGAAGACAAGTTTGCTGAAGCAGGGGGACCAGCTGGCCATGACCAGAAGTATCAAGGAGGGTGAGGTGAGGGTGGGAGCCAGGTGGGGACCGTCCTCCATATCCTCTGGACACCAGGAGGCCAAATTGCATCAGAACCTGGAGAGGGGGCTCAGTGAGGACTGTATGCCCAACACCTGGCTTGCCCGCCCGCCCTGTCCCTTTCTGGCTCTATGTTCCTAACACATTTTTGTCCTGAACAGGAAGTGAGGAACGAAGTGACATTCTTCCCCTGGCACTCAACTGCAGGCTTCATCTCCCAGGCTGCCAACCTGCTGCTGCTGAGGGTGATGGCCTGGAGGCAGATGGTGCCCAGTAATGCCCGCTTCCTGGCCTTGGACATGGAGGGCAAATTCTGCTATTCCACCTACGTGAGGGATCTCCAGCAGGGCGGGGCGGGGCTGGGGGGGGGGGGGGGGGGGGTGGGGGGACGTGGACTTGGCCTGGGGAAAACTAGAAGGGGCAGGAAAATGCTGAAGTAGGGGAAGAGAAAACTACAGAGTGGAAGGGGAGTGGAATGGGGATGAAACCAGGGCAAGGGACAGGGGCTTCCACAGGCAGGAGAAGGTAGATCGAGGAGATCAAGCGGGGGCAGGTGGAGTCGGGGAGAGGGACTAAAAGGTGAGCAGGTGAGGGAAACAACACTCAGTCCAGGAAAAAGAAACATATTTTTAACGTCAGGAAATGCAGTATCTCCAAGTACACTTAAATATTCTTTATTGTGTCTTAACCCTGAAGGGTCTTCCTTTTTTTTTTTTTCCTTTCTTTTGTTTTGGCTAAAATTTCATAATCAACATACCTAGGACTCCCTGCAATACGTGATTTTAAAGCCGTGCCTCTGGACACACACTTAGGGGCTGATTTGACCAACTTTGTGAATGACATTCTAGCCTTTTCTATCACATATTGCAGGGAGCCCTAGCAATGTGTTGGACACAAACAGGCACATGCCATTTACCCGTTTTCTCGGAAACACGTGTTTTGCGTTAGCACTTTTCTCCCCATGGCTGCAGCCCTACCAGGGGCTTATGTTTTAGTTCCAGCAGGGCATCCTGCCTGCAGCAGGAGGGGCCACAAGTCCTAGTTAGTCCCACCCCTCAGAGCTCCACTGCCCCCAACCCCAACACACACACACACACACACACACACACACACACACGTAATTGGTTGATCCTCATCCTTGTAACAGAATCTACCAACTAGAAGCATGTGGTCATGGGGAGGGATTGGGGCAGGAACAGGCTGGTGCTGGCTATGAGGGGACCCCCAACTTAACTTTGGGGCACAACTCAAATCTTGTGGTGCCTGGACAGCCAATTGTTGCTCATTACTGATGAACAAGGAATGAAGCTGTGAGAGGGAGAAAAGGGCCAGGGAAAGACTGTCAGAGAGACCCTGGTGGGCATCCACCTCCCCTCCTTCTCTCCTTTTTGGCTGCTGCCAGAAAGCCCTGGGCTCCCAGACCATCCAGGTGGGCCGTCAGCAGGCGGACGCATTCATCGTGGAGCAGACCGTGCACTCGGTGGAGGGGATCCCCTTCTCCTGCCAGTTCTACCTACTGTCTGACGGGTGAGCTACTGGGGCAGGCCCAGGGGGCAGTGTGAGCACAGCCTGGGCACTCAGCCTTGGAGGCTGATGGGAGAAGGAAGACCACTGTTTCTGGGGATACCACGAGGAAGAGATGCTGTTGAGATCTGAGTGCCCCTGCTTTAGCCACACCTTTCACCCTTTCTTCACTTACTCACTTACTCTCCTGGTCCTCATGACGCCTCCCAGACCTCACCACAGAGCCCTAAGTGGCAGAGGACGCTCACACCAATTCCCCAGGACCTAAGGCATAGTTAATGCAGCTGTCACAGGTGCCGGGTTTCACATTGGTAAACTCAGCACGCAGTAAGATGCTGGGAGAAGCATTCTGGCGCACGGCTAAGCTGTCCTCAGCAACATGCAGGCGACCAAACCGTGAGGAAATGTGGGAGGGGGAGAAGAATTTGTTTCTTGACATTTCTGAAGAGGTATTGACATGCTCACTACACTAAACAGGGTCATCAGAGCATTCTTGGGCTCCCTTAGTTCATCACTTAGCGTGTGGTTGCTGTTTTGCACGTCACGTATCAGAGGCTCATGATTTTTTTAGTGATTACGACTCTAAAGGTTTTGGTCCAGTCCTGGCACACCAGCGTGTATCTTCAGGGGTAGGAACAGTGCCCAGTTTGAAAAGCAAGAGCCATTACTGGGGGAATTGGAAATGAACTTGACCTGGGAACTCAAAGATAAGTGGGAGGACAGCAGTAAAGGGAAGCCCCCAGGACGGCTGCCTTTCAAGGGAGTGGGCTGGTCTAGGAATTTTCCTGTGTGGCACCTTCTCCTGTGTGGCACTCCAGGCACCTGGCCAAGCGAGTCCAGGTGGGCTCCCCCGGCTGCTGCATCATCACCAAGATGCCCGTCTTGAGGGAGGAAGGTGAGTGAAGCCTCTAGTTGGTGGGAGAGTGGGAACACCCAGCCCCCCTCCCCCACCTTGCAGGGGCTGGATTGAGGGTGCTATGGGTGCCATCAGAGCTGGAGATCCGATATAGAAGCTTTACCCTCCAGCCCTTGACCCCAAGGCCATTAGGGGAGGGTCATTTTGCAGGGACCCACTGCCAGCAACTGTGCCCATGTGGGCGGACCCTGGGTTTCACCTGCCTGCAATCTGGGTGCTCTTGGGCTCCCCTGTGTATCCGAGGGGGGTTCTGGGGGTGGATGCACAACCTTCCTCCCTTGGCTCCCAGATGAGATTGAGCCTCGCCCAGTGTTTGAGAAGAAGCCCCTGGCGTGGGAGGAGGACATAGAGCTGCACTCGAGGTTCCTGGAACGGAAGGTGAGGAGAGGCTGCCCCCAGCCTGGGGTGCCTATACCCGCTCCCCCAGGGCCCCCCTCCCCCCGCATAAATCCCAAAGTTAAAGATCTCTCTTCCTACCGGGTTG